CTTAACCACTGGACCATCGGAGAAGTCCCTAGGAAAGTCTTTACGTGTCAGGAAGCCATAAGCTCTAGATGGCCAATACAAAGTTTCAAAAATTCCAAGTTTCCTTTGAAAACTCAAACTGTATCATTGGCAACACATACTGTAAGCTGTTCCCCTTAAAGTGACAGAGTCTCTTTGTTAAATTTTGAGAGGATGCCCACCCAATATCCAAGTGGGAATAACCACTGTTTGTCTATCAGGTGCTGTTTCCAGTGAAAATGGTGTTGGATTAAAAGGTGGCCCGTTCACCTTATGACTTAGTTGCTCAAGGGCTTTTGCTTGTCATAACTTTTTGTTTCGAGATGCAGTAGCTCAGCTTTATGTCTGTGCTCTGCCTCATTAAATCGAGTATAAAAAATGTTGCCCCATCAACGATGGTCAAACGAAACGAGCTCCTTTTGTTTCTCTTCCGCAAGTGCACGGCAGTGAGGATGGTAATGACTAGTTGCGTGTTTTCTTGCCATGGCCACGACTTGCACTACTGCAACCAGCATTTGCAGTTTCATCTGCTGTAACTTTGCACCACGGGTGCAGATGTACAAAGAATCAAATAATGCCTTGCTGTTACTATGAAAGTAGTGTTGACCTTATTGACCCCTCTGGGACTCCCAGGGGTCGGTGAAGCACATTTTGAGAATGGCTGCACAGAGATGACAACAAGCATCCTTTTTTTTTTTGGATTGTTGATTTTTGGATTATTATTACTATATGTTTATTTTATATTTCCTTAGTCAATGCTTTTACATGTTTTACTTTCTTCCTTTTGTTTTCCTTTCTTAAACTAATTTTTATTGGAGCAGAGTTGATTTACAATATTGTGTTAGTTTCTGCTATGTGAGTTAGTTATACATACACATATATCCATGCTGTTTTTGGTTCTTTTCCCATATAGGTCATTACAAAGTACTGAATAGAGTTCCTTGTGCTATATATATACAGTAGGTCCTTATTAGTTATCTATTTTATATATACTAAAGTGTATATGTTAATTACAATCTCTCAATTTGTTCTCCCTACTCCCAACAAAAAGTATCTTTAATTTATTTTAACAGTCTATTTTTTTTTTTTTAATTAGTGGGGCAGTACCCACTCCGCTTCCTGAATAATGGAAGAGCCTTCAAGTGCTTCATCTCCATTTACTTCTACTTACATGTTCTGGTTTTCATTTATTGTATTTATCTATTTATTCCATACGCTACAAGTCATTAGTATTGCTTTAATACAGTTGGTGTTCATTTTACCTTTATCTACACATTTGCCTTTCTGTCATCTTTTCATTCCTTCCTACATTTCTAAGCTTCTCTCTGAAGAATACCTTTTAGCATTTCCTTTTGTGGGGGACTGCTGGGATGAATTTTCTCAGCTTGAAAATATATATTTCTCCCAATCTGAAAATGCCTTTACTTCATGTTTATCTTTGAAAGGTATTTTTGCTGGGGAATTCCAGGTTGGCAAATTTTGTCTCCAATACTTTGCAGATAGCATTCTATTGTCTGCTGGTTCTGCTGTTTGTGTTGGGAAGTCAGATGTCAGTGCTATTCTTGTTCTTTAGAAGGTAATGCCTTTCCCCAGCCCCCTGCCCCAGTTTTAAGATTTTCTCCTTGGTTCTCAATAGCATTAGTATAATGTGCCTAGGTGTGATTCTCTTCGTATTTACTTTGCTTGGAGGTTCATAGTGCTTTTTGAATCTTTCGAAATATGATTGATCACTTTTATATCTTTATTTCTTTAGGTATTTTTTTCTGTCTCTCTCTTTGTCCTGTTCATCTGGGATTCCAATGACATGTATGCTAGAGATTTCTACAGTATCTCATGTGGCTTCCGTGAAAGTGAAAGTTTTAGTCGTTCAGTTGTGTCTGACTCTTTGCAACCCCATGGACTATAGCCCACCAGGCTCCTCTGTCCACGGGATTCTCTGGGCAAGAGTGCTAGAGTGGGCAGCCATGCCCTCCTCCAGGGGATCCTCCTGCCCCAGATGTCGAACCCCCATCTCCTGTGTCTCCTGCATTGCAGGCAGATCTTTACCATCTGGGTCACGTCTTCCATACTTTTCCTCTATTCCCATGTCTCTCACATGTCATTCTAGACTTTTTCTCCTGAGGTATCTTTCAACTTACAAATTATTTAATAAGTTTTATCTGATTTAGGGCTTCCCTGGTAGCTCAGACAATAAAGAATCTGCCTGCAATGCAGGAGACCTGGGTTCGATTCCTGGGGCAGGAGGATCTCCTGGAGAAGGGATTGGCAACCCACTCCAGTATTCTTGCCTGGAGAATTTCATGGACAGAGGGGCCTGATGGGCTACAGTCCATGGGGTCGCAAAGAGTTGGACATAACTGAGCAACTAACACTTTCACTTTCATATCTTATTTGCTTTAAACCTATCTATTGAATTTTAAATTCAGTTATTCTATTTTTCAGCATTAGAATTTATATTTGATTCATTGTGATAGTTTCTGGTTTTCTGACGTAATTTTCAACTTTTCTTTCATTTCCTTGAACATAATAATTTGTTCAAGAATTCCACCTACAGAGGAGCCTGGTGGGCTTCAGTCTACGGGTTCGCAAAGCGTTGGACACATCTGAGTGGCTAACACATTCACTTTCAAAGAAGACATAGGAGATGCTGCAAAAATGTCTAACATATAAGTAATTGGAATCCCAGATGAACAGGACAAAGAGACAGAAACAATACCTAAAGAAATAAAGATATAAAAGAGATCAGTCAAGTTGTTTTTAAAATCTAGGTCTAATATTAACACCTCCATTATCTGTGTGTCCCGTGGGATGTTCCCATATTACCACATTACCATTTTGTGTCTTTTTGTTTTCAGACATACTATTTTGTTTCCATGAATTCATGGTTTTGATTGAGTGCTGGAAGCATTGTAGGGCTAAACTGGCAACCCACTCCAGTGTTCGTGCCTGGAGAATCCCAGGGGCGGGGGAGCCCAGTGGGCTGCCGTCTATAGGGTCACAGAATCAGCCCCAACTGAAGCGACTTAGCAGCAGCAGCAGGTATGATGTTTGATTCTGACACAAGCTAGCTAGGAGACCTAGCAACGCCAGAGCTCCTTAATCTAATTAGTGATGGAGAATTTTTAAACTGGGCTTCCATCCTTTGAAGGACAAAATATTTCTGGTTTTCCCTTACTCATGAGGCATATCCTTTTAGAGTCAGTTAAGAAGAAAACCCAATCAATTCCTCCACAAGAGGGAAGAAAGAAAAGAAAAATCATAGAAAAAATGGATACTGCTCTTGGTATTGATGGTTTCATAAATCCCGCTTATTAATGGTCTCTGAACTTTAATTTTGTCCCTATAGTTCTATGCATTTGTCAAAATTTCAGCTTTTCTGCCTCTTCCTCCAGAAACAGGGAGCACCTATAGGGAAAAAACTGTCCAAATGCTAAGCTTGTCTCCTTGAGTTTCTTTCTTCTCCTGGATTTTAGTTATAATTCTTCATTGTCTTGAAAACTCTCCAATACCTTCAGGCTTTTAATTTTTAATTTGAAAGTTTATCCACATTTCCCAGGTTTTGCAGTGGGAAGGTTTGTCCTAACTACGTAGCCTGCCATTGCCAAAAATATAGCAGACTGTACTACTTTCAATTTGTCACAATCTAGGGGAATTGAAGGTATCTGCACTCCACAACCCAGAAATTCCACAGCTAAGCATATTTACTTTGGAGACAAACTTTGGCAAAATAAACAGTCACTATCACTATTGTAATTTTAGACAACATTGATTTGTAAGTTTTCATACATGTTCGCAAACTTCTTAGCTTACTATTTTTTCTTGCATCTCAGTCTTTTTTTTTTTTTTTAATCATTTTCTTTCCTTCCTTAGGGAAATTCTGCTGGTTTACCACCAACCAAATATATCTGAATATAATTTTGTTTCATGTTTACTGTTTCCGGGTACACGGTCTTGTGAAGTACACAATTCTAGGTTAGCAATAAATGCATTTCCATGTGTGAAAAGCTACGCTCTGACTTTTGGCTGCAGTTTTTGACATTATGAAGTTTGGTCTCAGCATTATTATCATTCATTTAAAGATTACCTCTTCTTTTTGTGGCTGCTTTAAAAATATTGTTTTTGTTTTTGGTATTTTGGAGATTCACTATAGGATGTTGGAGAGGATTTAAGACATTTAATTTTACTTGGAATACATGGTGGTTCCTGAATCTTGGATTTACATCTCCCATCTGTTCTAGAAAGTTCTTAGCTATTATCTTTTCAAATATGATCTCTGATTTAATGTCTCTGCACTGTCCTCGGGGGCTCTGACTAGGTTTATGTTAGAGCTGCTCATTCTCCTCTTTATCACGCTTACATTTTCCTTCATATTTTCTAGTTCTTTGACTCTTGGCACAGCTTTTTGGTAATTCAATCAGACTGTTGGGTTCACACATTTTATTTTTAGCTGTGCATAATTAACCACCCATTGAGGTTTTTTTTTCAAAATTAATTATCATTTTTATTTTTAAAAGTTCCAATTAGTTTTCAAACCTGTTTGGTCATTGCTGATAATCTTTTGTTGATCGTTTGTGATTCTAACCTTTCTCTATGTACTTCAGCCACTGTTGTTATATATTGTGTATCAGACTGTACCATCTTTGGGTGTTTAAAGTTTGTTCTCACTGCCACTGATGGGTATGCTCTGTGTGTGCACGCTCAGTTGTTAAGTCATGTCTGAATTTGTGACCCCGTGGACTATATATAGCCTGCCAGACTCCTCTGTCCGTGGGATTCTTCAGGCAAGAATACTGGGGTGGGTTACCATCCCCTTATCCAGGGGATCTTCGTGATCCAAAGATCAAGCCCTTGTGTCTCATGTACTGGCAGGCAGATTCCTCGCCACTGAGCCACTCAAGGATACCTGCTTCCTTCTGTTTCTGTGACCTTTCATTGTGAGGTCATTGCTTAGTCCTAATCCCTGGGACACTGGTGAGCCTAGATTGAGGATGCTTTCCTCCTGCTATGGGCCTGGATTACCAAAGACTTGGAGACACGGGTGTCACCTTTGAGCATCTCAGATCTGCAAGATTCCCAGGTTTACCTTCTCTATCTTGCTGTTGGCCTTAGTGTTAGGATATTCCAAAAGCAATATGATTACTGATGCTCACTCTCAAGGCAAGCAAACTCCTACTTTCTGTACATTGCTACTCTGTCCCATTTCGGGTCTAGCTCACATTTTGGGGAGGAATTAGAGGCTTCCACACGCCCTACCGGCTAGCAGTGTGTCAAAAGTGAATGTTTTTCAAGATAGTCTTTTGTTTTTTGACACGAGAGGGTGCCATGGAGGACTCGGTCTGCCTTACTCCCAGAGTGGAAATTATTCTATTGTTCTGTGCTAATCTCTTTACTTCCTCAGCTCTCATAAATACTGCATAATAAAGATGAGCCTACTCTCGACCTTGAAGTATTGTTATGAGGATTAGAAAGCGTATGAAGCCTCTAGCAGTTGCTAAACAAATGATCACTAATAACAATGATGATGGTGATTAAATATTTTCTGAACTTAGTGGAACATATATTGATTGTTGAAGATGTATAAACCTTATACGTATATTACCTCCTGAAGGCTGAGTGCAGAAGAATTGATACTTTTGAACTGTGGTGCTGGAAAGACTCTTGAGAATCCCTTGGACAGTGGGGTGAACAAACCAGTCAATCCTAAATGAAATCAGCCCTGAATATTCATTGGAACAACTGATGCTGAAGCTGAAGCTCCAAAATTTTGGCCACCTGAGGTGAACAGCTGACTCACTGGAAAAGACCCTGATGCTGGGAAAGATTGAGGGCAGGAGGAGAAGGGGGCGACTGAGGATGAGATAGCTGGATGGCATCACCGACTAGACGGACATGAACTTGGGCAAACTCTGGAGATGGTGAGGTGCAGGGAGGCCTGCATGCTGCATTCCACGGATATGACTTAAGAGTCGGATATGACTTAGAGTCGGATATGACTTAGCGACTGAACAACAACAGTGACAATCTTGTAACACTCTTAAGTGGGTAAGATGCTCGTTTCAGAGACTAGGAAACTGAAGCTCAGAGATGATAATGCGCAGCATTCTTATTAAATGATATAAAATATATGATAGTGCTAATTCACTCATTCTTTGAACAGATACTTGGTGGTGGTTCGTTACTAAGCCATGTCCGACTCTTGCGTCCCCATGGACTATAGCCTGCCAAGCTCATCTGTCCAAGGGATTTTTCCAGGAGAGAACACTGGAGTGGGTTGCTGTTTCCTTCTCCACCCACAGATACTGACCGAGTCCCTTCGTAGTGTTTGCATTAGGAAGCTTCTGGATAAAATCTCCTTTGAGGTGAGCTTCAGCCCTCTAGGCCAATGGCCCCTGGTAATAACCATGCTCCTATAAATGAGATGGAGCTTGGGAGCCCTGAGTTATAAGCACTGTGATGCAACTTTGTTTGAGTTAAGGTGCGGATGGAGTGTGCAAGTTATAATGTGTCGTTACTAAGTTAGAAATTAGTAACATCATTAGGGGGCTTCAGGGGTGGCTCAGTGGTAAAGAGTCCACCTGCCAAGGCAGGGGATGCAGGGGATGTGGATTTGATCCCTGCACAAGAAAATGGCAATCCATTTCAGTATTCTTGCCTGGGAAACCCCATGGGCAGAGGAGCCTGGATGTCTACAGTCCATGGAGTCAAAGAGTTGGCCATGACCGAGCACTTACACACACAACGTATTATAAGGGAATGATGTGCACTTGCGAGTGGGCAGCCTGGCTCATAAATATCAGGGGGTCTTGGTGAGAGCTGGTCTGTGGCCAACAGGCTCTCTGGTTCTCTGCAAGAGCAAGCCGGGGCGACAGGAAGTACCCAGCATCCTGGCTGCTGCTGCTGACGTGCTCAGTTGCTTCAGTCATGTCCGACTCTTTTCGACCTCATAGACTGTAGCCCACCAGGCCCCTCTGTCCGTGGTTCTCCAGGCAAGACTACTGGAGTGGGTTTCCATGCCCTTCTCCAGGGGATCTTCCAGACCCAGGGACAGAACCTGCATCTCCTGTGTCTCCTGCATTGCATGTAGATTCTTTACCCACTGAGCCACCTGGGAAGCCTTGGCTGCTGCTGCTCACCTACTGGAATCTTCTATGACTGCTTGCCACACCCAGCTCTTCCAGGTGCCTAATTCAGGTTACTCTGACACCTCCTTCACCTACTTCATGTCCTGCCCCCCACAGTCTCCTGGATGCTGAGACCTGTGCCCAGGAGTCAGACCCTCTTCTGCAGGTCCCCCCCCCCCCCCCGAGTCAGGGGAAGACAGATCAGGCTTATGGACAATGGTGCATAAGGGTCCCTGGCTTAGAAGCAGTCACCTGCCTTGGCTCCACCTTGGGAACTGTCAGCGCAACCTGTAAGTAAGATTAAATTGGGTGCATTTATATATTGGCCTGGACATGAAATGGTGAGAGAGATGAGGTTGGTGGAGAGAATGAGAGCAAGCTTTTAATTTTTTCATCCAACAAGCATTCGTTTAGGACTTCCCAGGTGGTATAGTAGTTACAGGTTTCCCCTATAGCTCAGAGAGTATGGAACCCACCTGCCGATGCAGGAGACATAGGAGACGCAGGTTCGATCCCTGGGTCGATAAGGTCCCCTGGAATAGGAAATGGCAACTCACTCCAGTATTAAGACTGCACTTCCAATGCAGGGGACACAAGTTCAATCCCTGGTCAAGGAAGTTTCAAGTGCCATGCAGTGTGACCAAAAATAAACAAACAAAACAAACAAGCCATTCCCTTATCTAGCATCGAGTCTGCACAACTCCCAGGAGTCAGAAAGAGGATCTGAACCTGATTCTGCCTCGGTTGCACAGCCCATGCCCCTGCCACTGATAGTAATACCCATGTCCCAGGGTGGTTACTAGAGCTTGGAGATGTGATGTGTGTGGGCAGTACAGCACCCGGCATTTCAGAACGCGGTCTATGCCACCTTCTTTATTTCTCTGAGCAAAAAGAAATCTTAAAAGAAATTCAAAATCTGTTGCCTTGGAGAAGTTTGAGAAGAAACCAGAAAGTGTGTGGGAAGGAATTCGTTCAGCCTCTGCCTGGGCGGTTGCACGGGCTCTGGTGGACTCTGACTCCTGGCATTCCCCCGCTGATGGGGGCATTTAACCGCCTCCTGCCTTCAGGTTTTATTTCCTCCACCTCAGCCACATGGCCCGGCCGTTATCACAGACAGAAGGACTGGAGAGTTTTCCCTTTTCAATGATGAACTTTGCCATGCTCAGCCTTATCTTTTAGTTATTGCGATTTTGCTGAAAATGAAGAAGTGCAAATCTGACAGATTGAATATCAGCTTGGAGGCTGTACTTTTCATAGTTCTTATGGTTTGGGTGGATTTGGGAGAGAGAAAAAAGGAGAGAGCTTCTTTGTGAAGAACATTTTTCTACAAGTGGTCATTACAGAACATGATTAGATTGTATGTATCTAACTGTGCAGAAATGATGCTAGCAAACATCCCTCCTTTATTTCTTCAAGTCAAAGAAGCACTTGAGGTCTAATAAGCTGAATGGAATGGGATGGGGCAATGAACAGGCAATGGGATGAGGAAGGTGCAAAGTCACAGCCTCCGCCTCCTTCCACCTGCTCCTGGGAAGCAGTGGAGGGTCAGATGTATGGTGTGGAGACTCGACTTTCTCCTGTGGATGTGTCTCTTCACGACTCTGAGCTCGTTACTCCTTCGTAAGGCGAGGTTCTGCTTGTCTGTGGCTGTGAAGCAGACTAGCCCACGCGGTGGAATAAAGCAACACTCATTTAGTACTGTATCGCTCCTGCTTCTGGGGGTGACTGGGCTCAGCTGGGCGGTTCTCGGTCTTCATTGCTCAAGGGGGTGTGCTCACACGCAGGCTGCCCTGGACGCATTTGAGGTCATCCTTATGTGTCTGGTGGGTGCAGTGGGCTGTTCGCTTGGATCTCAGAGGGGCTGTGGTCCAGAATATCCACACGTGGTCTCCCCGTGGCCCTTGGGTTCCTGCCTGGCATGGTGACTGACTGGATTCCAAGAGTCCAACAGTGAGTGTCCTGCAAGGCAGAAGGAAGCTGTTTTGCCATCTAAGACTGAGCTTCAGAAGTCACTCAACTCCATGTCACTCATCCTCTGGTGTTGGACACTCGTCGAGGCAGCTGGGAGCAGCTCTTGACTGGGGGAAAGGCAAGGCAAGGCTCTGAGATGGGAAATACTGTGGTCACCTCTGGAAAATACAATCTGAGTTGGCGTCTGGGTCACTGTGAGCATAAACCGAGTAACAGTGATAGGCAGTGAGGTTTGGGTTTCTGATTCTGATTCTGGTTTCACCACTTACCAGCCACGGGATAAGGCAACCACATCCAGTGGGTTCGACCACTCAGGGCCAGGCTGATGACGGAGGAGGCGTGGGATGTGAGTCCTCCCGTGACTCCAGATATTTCTCCCGTTTTCCTTTCCTGGTGTGTCTCATTGGCTGCTGCTAATTTGTCCAGTGCTTAAGGATGATGTTTCCTGCAGCATCTTTAAGTTTTTGTTGTTACTGTTGTTGTTGTTCAGTCACTAAGTTGTGTTCAACTCTTTGCGACCCCATGAACTGCAGCACACCAGGCTTCCCTGTCCTTCACTATCTCCTGGACTTTGCTCAAACTCATGTCCACTGAGTCGGTGATGCCATACAACCATCTCATCTTCTGTTGCCCCCTTCTCCTTATGCCTTCAATCCTTCCTAGCATCAAGGTCTTTTCCAATGGGTTGGCTCTTTGCATCAGATGACCAAAGTATTAGAGTTTCGGCTTCAGCAGCATTTGTTCTAATGAGCATTCAGGGTTGATTTCCTTCAGGATTGACTGGTTTGATCTCCATGCTGTCCAAAGGACTCTGGTTGCAAGGGAAGACTGGGTCTATTAGATTGAAAGCTACACTTGAGGCTGTCCCCTTCGCGGCCCTTTGACTTGGGCAGATGGAAGAGTATGCTCTTTGGTAACACCTCTCTTCCTGGGTCACAGCAAAGACTAAGTAGAATAATGGGCAGGAACCTGGGAGTGACGGAGG